AGTTGGGCATGCACCCACATGCATCTCCTAGTGGGGTCCTGTGAAGAGAGGCATGGGAGATAAGCTGCAGACACCTCCGGCAGGAGGAAAATAATGACAGTGTGTCTGATCTCTTCTCCCAACAAGCCTTCATCACAGATACTTTACAAACATGGGAATGGAATATCAGGCCATCTTTTACCAAACTGGGCATCTGGCATGCTTCATCTAGGTACCTCTAGAAGACTTTGCATGTTTTTATTACTTCTCCCTAGAGAAGCTATTCCTAAATTGCCATTATTTGCCTTTCCACCCCCCCCCCCATATTTGAAAGTTCATGATGGATCCAGACATTATTAACCTCAACAAAATATTTATGTGGTCTTTTGACTGCTATGAAATGGAATGAAGACAATAAAAAAATTAAAAAACTGTAGGCGATTCAGGATAGGTGATGTCTACTTATGCACTCTCTGGATATACCGGTAATAATGTAATGGTCAAGTACTCTGTTCTTGGGGAAATTTTCTTTTCATATTAGAGGCTTTATTGCAGCAATAATTATATTCATATGCTCAAATTAGATATGCATATGTGTGTTTAATCTTTACTGGAAGGTTATAAAAGAACCTACACCAGGAGGATATTGGTGGGTGGTCAAGATGAAAGATTTGTATATAAAGCTGTGCAGTATAAATATATACACACAAAATAATTCCTATAATATCTGTTTCCAAATGATATAATAAATGAATGTTGCAGTGACTGATCACAAATCACGCGTACTGTATATCCACAGCTTCATCCTTCTAAATAAAAGCACTTGAGAGTTCTCAGTGACTCAGAGGGATGTCTAGGAATCTGTTTGACTTTATCGTTTCATCAACTCTGGATGTTACATAATTCTACAAATGTACCTTCCTTCATTTTCTTCTAAGTCTATACCTCCCACACAGATAACTGAAAAGGTCCACAATTCCTTCTATTATGTTGTAACTATGCTCTGCTTTCAATTATAAGCTCATACAAGGACAATGCAGTTTCACTAATATGTGGTTTATAGATCAGCAACCAGGCCCATGATTTACTAACATCCAACTGGTTTAGATGGTCCTACTTTTGTATGAGTATATTTAAATTAAATCTAACATGAAATATATTTTTTTTATTTCCGGCTATGTAATGTGTAAAGCTGGCCATAAATGGAGGGAATCTTAAGCTCTGGGTGCCCTATGGCATCATCCAGCCTGACATCCTTTTTTATCTGAAAATCAAAAGAGACAGGTGAAAATTGTTGGCCCAACATTGGATTTATCCAATCATATATAGCTACTGTCCGGGTAATCTGGCAGCTGTGGGTGCAGGTTGTCAGAATACAAATCAACCACTTGTGCAACCTCAGGACTAATCAGACTGATATGTACAGTCTGATCAGTTAGGGAGAAGAGACTGAGGAAGTGCTTCCTTCTGCCTGCAGCAAGCTGATGACATCATGCCAGTGTAGGCTGAGTGCAGTTCAGTGATTTCTTTTTATTGATAACAGGTACAGGTTTTTTTAATTGCAAATTGTTGAGTTCCTGATATAAATACATTTTATAACCATAGTAGGCCTACCTAAATGGGGGCACTCTGATCTAGGTAGTCAGTGTAACATACAATATGTGAACCAGAGACCCTAGTTTTAAAAAGATTTTACACTTTCAGAGGGAAAACCAGTACTCTGCCCTCATCATGATCAGTAGGGGTTCCCAACATGGATCCACTGCTAGCCAGCTGTTTTACAGTGTTGCCAACACAACACTATAATTGCTCAGAAACATTGTCAGGCTCATGGTGTGACAACCTGCCTACAGAAACCCACCGCTTTCCAGTTTGGGCTGATGCTGTCCAGCCGCAAAAAATAAATGGCTTTTCCTAGCTGACTAATGAAAACCCAAGCTGTTCAGCAGGGCTTGTAAAATAGCTGAGCAAGTGTGGAGGAGGGTTCTGTGCTAAACAAACCATGCCTTGTCATCAGCATTGAGAAGTTTAGAGGTTTTCCACTTTACTTCAGAAAATGAAAAGCTTTAGTAAGGAATTACCAACAATATTATTATACACTATATTGCCAAAAGTCCAACTCAGCCACTTAAAATGACAGAGTGGGGTCAGGGTAGGCTGAAGCACACAGTGCGCAGAAGTTGACAACGGTCTGCAGAGTCAATAGTTAAAGACCTCCAAACTTCACGAGGCCTTCAGATTAGCAGAACAACAGTGCATAGAGAGCTTCATGGAATGAGTTTGCATGGCCGAGCAGCTGCATCCAAGCCTTACATCACCAAGTGCAATGCAAAGCGTCTGATGCAGTGGTGTAAAGCACGCCACCCCTGGACTCTAGAGCAGTGGAGACGTGTTCCCTTGAGTAGCAAATCATGCTTTCCTGCCTGGCAATCCGATGGACTTGTCTGCGTTTGGCAGTTGCCAAGAGAACGGTAATTGCCAGATTGTGCCAAGTGTAAAGTTTGGTGGAGGGAGGGTTATGATGTGGGGTTGTTTTTCAGGGCTTGGGCTTGGCCTCTTAGTTCCAGTGGAGGGAACTCTTAAGGCGTCAGCATACCATAACATTTTGGACAATTTCATGCTCCCAACTTTGTGGGAACAGTTTGGGGATGGCCCCTTCCTGTTTCAACATGACTGCACACCAGTGCACAAAGCAAGGTCCATAAAGGCATGGATGAGTAAGTTTGGGGGTGGAGGAACTTAACTGGCCTGCACAGAGTCCTGACCTCAACCCGATAGGACACCTTTGGAATGAATTAGACTGGAGACTGCAAGTCAGGCCTTCTCGTCTGACATCTGTGCCTGACCTCACACATGCGCTTCTGGTAGAGTGGTCAAACATTCCCATAGACACACTCCTAAACCTTGTAGACAACCTTCCCAGAAGAGTTGAAGCTGTCATAGCTGCAAAGGGTGGGCCAACTCAATATTGAACCCTACGGACTGAGACTGGCATGCCATTAAAGTTCATGGGCAGCACAGTGGCTAAATGGTTAGCACTTCCGCTTGGCAGTACTAGGGGCATCGGCTCCAATACAAACCACGACACTACCTGCCTGCAGTTTGCATGTTGTCCAAGTGCCTGCATGTTGTCCAAGTGCCTGCATGGGTTTCCTCCGGGTACTCTGGTTTCGTCTCACACTCCAAAGACATGCTGGTAGGTTAATTGGATCCTGTCTAAATTGGCCCTTGTAAGTGTATGTATGAATGTAATTTAGGGACTTTAGATTGTACACCCCTTGAGGGTTAGGGACTGATGTGAATGTATAATATATATGTACAACACTGCGTAAATTGATGGTGCTATATAAGTAACTGTAACAAATAAAAAGTGCGTGTAAAGGCAGGCACCCCAATACTTTTGGCAATATAGTGTATTTTGTTTATGTTCTATAAGATTTTACAACCAAAAATATAAAAACCATCTAAAAAATATGTATTACAATTTGCACAAATATAATAGGAATAAAAGAATTGTCAGGGATCGCCGCGGTGCTGGTCCCGGCACATGCGCATTAGGCCTTCTCAAGCAGGGATGCGGGCGCTAGGTCCCGGCCCGCCGCGGCAACGGAGTTCGCGCATGCGCACTGGCATTTATGGGTGCGCGCCTGGCACCAATGACAGCGCAGGGCGCGATATTTAAATCCCCCTGTGCTGTCACTGGTTGCCGAATGGTCTTCCTGCGATTCCTGTTCCCTGAAACCTGCGACTGTGAGTACTATTGACCCGGACTGTCTGACCTTTGCTGCCTTCTCCTGTCCTGACCCTTGGCTTGCCTGACCTCGCTCCTGAATGTCCCTATTTAGATCTGATCTCCTGTTACTGACCTGGCGTGTGACCCGACCATTCTTTGCCTGCTGCTTTGTACCGCACCGACCCCCCGGCTACCGACTCGGCTTGTCTGACCTAGCTTTAGCTCATCCATCCATCCATCTCACTGGGACCCCCCCGGTCCCCTCACATTAGACTCTTACTCTGCGGGAGCCTCTGGCGGACTCCTCTACCACTAGTGGGTATACCCGGTAGTCGCAACCTGGTCTCGGAGCGCTCCAAGTCCATCCCCACCATCAGGGGCCCTGGTGAACAAGTGCTCCGTAACTTAGACTCCGCGCTCCAGGGAAGCCTGACCAGTGGGTTGCTAGAGGTGCTGTCAGGTGGTCCGTTACAGGAATACTATGGATACGACAGCCTTAGGAATATCACTTTTATATTTAAACTTCATATGGCAACTTCTGAACATTGCAGGCAGGTAAAGTGTGAGTAAATTCTCTGACAAATTCACCTTGAGCTTTTGAGCTATATAAGCATTTGGAAAACATGAAAATGATTCTAAAGCGCTATCCGTTGGCTCAAAGTGAGAATACAAAATACCGTATTTTTCGCTCCATAAGACGCACTTTTTTCCCCCCAAAAAAGGGGGGAAAATGTCAGTGCGTCTTATGGAGCGAATATAAAGCGGCCGGTCCGGTATTTTTGCGGCCACCATGTCAGAATACCGGGCCGGCCGCTGAGCTGTTGTCTCCTGCAGGGCCTTACCTGTTCCTCGCTCCAGCGCTGCACAGTCTTCCCGCGCTGGCTTCTGTGACAGCCGAGTGCCCACTGCGCATGTGCTGCACTTTGTGAATGATCCGGTGTCTTCTGGGACACATGACAGGTCCCAGAAGGCGCCGGGCCATTCACAAAGCGCAGCGCTTCTCGCACATGCGCAGTGGGCACCCGGCTGTCACAGAAGCCGGCCAGTGAAGAAGAGGGAAGGACAACTCCGCGGGGAGTGGGAGCGGGTACCTGTCAAATTCAGGTACCCGCTCCCCCTTCCTCCCCAAAGGTCAGCAGTCTCTGGTCGTTCCCTGCACTGTCTGCAGTCTCTGGTCGTTCCCTGCACTGTCTGCAGTCTCTGGTCGTTCCCTGCACTGTCTGCAGTCTCTGGTCGTTCCCTGCACTGTCTGCAGTCTCTGGTCGTTCCCTGCACTGTCTGCAGTCTCTGGTCGTTCCCTGCACTGTCTGCAGTCTCTGGTCGTTCCCTGCACTGTCTGCAGTCTCTGGTCGTTCCCTGCACTGTCTGCAGTCTCTGGTCGTTCCCTGCACTGTCTGCAGTCTCTGGTCGTTCCCTGCACTGTCTGCAGTCTCTGTCGTTCCCTGCACTGTCTGCAGTCTCTGGTCGTTCCCTGCACTGTCTGCAGTCTCTGGTCATTCCCTGCACTGTCTGCAGTCTCTGCTCATTCCCTGCACTGTCTGCAGTCTCTGGTCGTTCCCTGCACTGTCTGCAGTCTCTGGTCATTCCTGCACTGTCCGCAGTCTCTGGTCATTCCCTGCACTGTCCGCAGTCTCTGGTCATTCCCTGCACTGTCTGCAGTCTCTGGTCATTCCCTGCACTGTCCGCAGTCTCTGGTCATTCCCTGCACTATGTCCGCAGTCTCTGGTCATTCCTGTACTGTGTCCGCAGTCTCTGCTCATTCCTGTACTGTGTCCGCAGTCTCTGGTCATCTCCTGTACTGTCCGCAGTCTCTGGTCATCTCCTGTACTGTGTCCACAGTCTCTGGTCATCTCCTGTACTGTGTCTGCAGTCTCTGGTCATCTCCTGTACTGTGTCTGCAGTCTCTGGTCATCTCCTGTACTGTGTCTGCAGTCCATTGGTTCAGAATATTTTTTTTCTTGTTTTTCACCTCTAAAACCTAGGTGCGTCTTATGGTTAGGTGCGTCTTATGGAGCGAAAAATACGGTATTTATATGCAATATTTATATTTTTATTTAAGTGATCAGGAGAGGACATTCATGATATAATTTTCAGGCCAATTCTACAACAGTTTACAGAAGAAATACCCAATATCAAATTGCCATGAGTGACTAAACACTTATTACCCTAACATCTCCATGTACTGTAATCCACCAACTCCTCAGGAGAAGATAATTCAAGACATCCCACCCAGGATGATGCTGCAGTTCTGGTATACAGTACTCTGTGAGAAACATCACTGGATTAAAGATGCTTTCTGCAATCAACATCTGTATTTGTGCTCAGCACAAAAGGCTGACAATGTGTGTGGTCTCCAATTAAACATCATTCTCATGCTAACTTCAAAAGTAAATTAGTATCTCTCTTGTTCATATTAAATTCAGTTGTTCCAAGAGTTATTCGTGAGCTGTCCCACGGGCACTCATCTGATCAATAAAGAAAATCCAATCAATAAACATGGAAGAATTTGTTTTATACTAGTTGTATCACAATGACGCACAGGTTTTTTTGTTGTCAGTGTGTATTGTACCTTCATGCACCGCATGGCAATAGTTACAGTATTTGTGCAGTAGAAGACTTTCTAGATACAGTTCACTGTATGGTTAGTCATCTAACAACCCTTTATCAAATATGAATGAGTAGAGCCAATAATCTCATAGCGGACAGGAAACATTTCATCACATCAAGCCATTTATTAAACCAGACATTTATTACATTATAAAAAAACATTGATAGCTTATTATCAAGAACAACGACTGAAAAAAAATGTAAAAAGCAATGAAAGTAAAGCGGCAGCTTAGTAGCGGGAAACAATCTGATTTTATGTGCTTCTCTTTGTCACCTCAACCACCCACAGCCTAGGTAAATACAACTCTCAGTAAGTCTGAATTTGTATATGGCTAGAACCAACTCTTTCTGTGACATAATAAACTGCCCACTCAGACTCCAAGCATTGCACTGAGGATAGCCGAAACAGGCGGGGTGTACCCCTTACCAAACAGAAACTGATTTCTTCTCTGGAGGTAGATCAGGGTAGGGAAGAAAAATGGAAAAGTTATGAAAAAGGTACCTTATGAGGTCTGCTATCACAATGCAGCTTTAATTTCCTTGGGAACAGAAGCACTTTAAGCAGTGATATGGTACATATGCATTAGACAGAAAAGTAGGATGATAACATTTGGATAGCCAACCCAGCAAAGTTTGGGTCAGTTGTGATCTGGTGACCATTGCTAGTACCAAAGGCAGTGCACAGTTAGATCTCTAATTCAAATTACCTCCATTTACTCTGACAAAACACAAGATACCCATAAAAGGGCCAGTTAATGGCAGACAGAATGTGTTGTCTGATTATCCACCAAGCTTGGCCAAATCACCTGCAGGATCAGGCTGTCCTTAACAGAGTAGAACAGTTTTATGGACTGATCTTCCTTTACACAGTCCTACCTATGTTTCTACGAGTAAAAACAGAACACAGCTAGCATGCATGCATGAAGAATTCAAGGTGACTAGTGTATGCTGAAAATTATTTGGTCATTGGGAAAGACTAAACTTATAAATTAGTAATAACAAATATTACCTATAAAACAAGTGTTATTGTGGCATATGCCTGTATGATCGCTTTGGGAATAGCATAGTTTGCTACTGGTATTTAATTTAAAGCGGAGTTCCACCCAAAAGGGGAAGTTCTGCTTTAAGTCTTTGTCCTCCGCTTCCCATTACGGATTGGCACCTATGGGGAGCGGGTACCCGAATATGACAGGTATCCGCTCCCACTTCCGCTGGATTGCCCAGGCGATCGGAAGCGGAAGTTGTCCTCCCCTCCTCACTCCCCATAGTCTTCTGAGACATGTGACAGGTCCAAGAAGACTACGGAGACATTTACAAAGAGCAGCGCTTCTCGCACATGCGCAGTGGGCACCCGGGTGTGAAGCCGCAAGCTGTCACAGCCGGGTGCCCACACTGAAGATGCTGGCGCCAGCGAGAGAAGACCGCCAGTGAAACCAGCGGTGGTGAGGACGCCGCTGCATGGAGGGACAGGTAAGTGTCTGTATTTTAAAAGTCAGCAGCTACAGTTTTTGTAGTTGCTGACTTTCTTTTTCCTTTTCAGCTGGAACTCCGCATTAAGCATGATACAGGACACTGAATATTAATTAAACATTTTGAAAAACTAAAAACACAAAATGAAAGAATTTCCTTTAGTCAATCTGTACTTGTTTTTAACATTACAGTATCATTTACATTAATAGCATCTGGCTCTCCTCCAATGAAAAGGGCGCCTTGACAACATTGTATTATTTAAATATATCAATGTCCTCAGTCTCTTTTTAAAGTTTTAGTGTCATACATAGGTAGCTATTTACATTGATAAAAATGTATCTAGCTTCCTTTAATGGTGGAAAACCGTTTGCTAAAAATAAGATTACACAAATAAATTGTTCACATCCATGGGAACATGCAATTCCAAAAGAATAAAAATTCCCCCGCTCTGTTAACTATAAATACAAGCAGAATGACTGGGACCATCCTGTGAGTGACTCATCTGTCTCAGTGGTTCTTAACCTATTTTGGATGTGGCCCAGATTATGGCTGTGAATCAGCTTTGCTTGCTGTCTAATGAATAAAGGACTTATTTTAGCTGTACAAAGAAGCATAGTCATGAAACACTGTCAATGGAGTGGCTGGGCAAGCCAGAGAAGTCATCTAATCCTTCACCTTCACGGCCTTTAAAGGTACTATGTAACAGGTGATGATGAGTTCCCAAGGAGCTATTCTGTATCGGGATCAAACTACTGGATCAAGTGGGGCAGATCATAAACTGTTTTCAGGGACAGATGTGCTTCTACTCACAATATTCCAAGTCAGAAATACAAGAACAAGGTATATGTACAAAAGCAAAGGAAATCCAAAAGGTGGTTTGCCTGCAGGCTCCAGTGGTGGAACTTCCGTCTCTCAGTGGTTATGTGACAACAACATACACTCACAAAATAGACCTTCATAGGACCCTCGTTAATAAATACCTGGTAGGGGTTCCAATCCTTCCCTACTCAATATAAAACAAAGCAAAAACATTTGCTATACACATTTCTACATTTTAAGCACGTTACTTGATGAACGTATTTAAACACTTCCCGCCCATAGCACGTCATATAATGTGATGATGGATTTAGTCGGCATTGCTCTATAATGTAAAAGCAATCCGAGCAGCTAATTAGCCACTGGATTGCTTTTAAAAGCAGCAAGATGAGTGCCCCCCACTACGTTTCGGTGCCTGCCTGGGCTCTCCCGTCTCATCAGGGAGCCAGAGACTGAAGCCGATACTCCCCCCAGCTTATTATAGAGCTGAAGGGGACTGGGATGTCCCTGATCATCTCTGTGGTTTAAGAAGCTGGAATTGACAAGTATTTTGTTACTGCCAATTTTGCTGGATATAAAAAAGCAATTTTTCTCTTTGGAAAGCATCTCATCAAATCGATCTTGGTTTGATCAGATGATTTAAGGGCAAAGGAGAGATCTAGTGTCTCAATAAAGAGTACCTGTCACTGTCTTTTGCCATCACCAGGGTTGTTTAAAGGACAATGTAAAAATGTAAATAAATAAATTTAAAAAAATAAATAATAATTAAATAATCATTAATTAAATTGTATTTTGTCATAAAAGTTTGCATTTGAAAAACCGCTGCACAAATACTGTCACATAAAAAAAATATAGATATATATAGATATATATATATATATATATATATATGTTTGGGGATTCTAAATAATTTTCTAGCCAAAATTATGATTTTTACATGCAGGAGAGAAATGTCAGAATTGGTCCAGTAGGGAAATAGTTAACGCAAAAAACAAATTTAGTTTTCTTCCTCATTTTGCTACATTAAGCTGAAATCTTATACTGCTCTGTAGTGTTATTATGGTTCAGTAAACTAGAGGAGAAATCAGGACAACATTAAAATAAAACATTGTGTACAGGTATTGATCCACTACTGCCTCATACTGTTTTTTGGTGATATCTTCTGGCTTGACAGTATGATCTATATTGTAAACTTCTACCTTCTAGATGGAAGGGACAGGTTTACAATTCTTGACATTCTTTACTCTCCAGGCCTTGTCACAGCCTGTACCTCTAGGAATGCTTACTCAGGAATCTGACTTGATAATTGCAGATTAACAAAAAAGGAAAAACCACATCATCAAAAGAGAAGGGATTCTCAAGTGAGCATATCTGTGTGTGGACTCAATCACTTCCGAAACCTTTTACCCTCACCCACCAATCACACTGAGCTATTGTGGCAAATAAATGGAGGACAAAACATTACGCAGCACGGGGCATACAAAAAACAATCAGCCTGAGATTAGTACGGGCCTGGGAACACGTTGATGTGTTTGGTTTTATTATACAGCTGTGTAGCTGGCAGACATAATGCATAACAACTACTGGGAATTAATTAATGCTAATTCAGGGCTTACAAGGCCGCAGCCTGTCTGTACTGTGTACAGATCTTCTACATACAATAGAAGGAGTCTTTCTGGGATGTAAACTAATAGTCTTCATAATGTCATGGACTTAAAGCTGGATCTTTAACAAGTGGCTGAAATGAAAATGTCTGTGCTGATCATAGCAATGACAATGTGCTGGTATACACTGCAAGTTAGAGAATATAATGACGTGTTTTATTGATTGCCATATCTACAGATATACAAATATTGCAGATTTTCTATAAATGAGAGATTAAAGTTAGTTAAAATCACAACATACCTATCTCTTTTGGGGGCATACAGCTAACATTACCAATAACCACTGCAAGAACCTTCTAGTCATTCCTAGGATTG